TCAGAAGCAAGAAAGCAATTCACTCTCCACAGTGCTCACACACTTTGCATTTTCTGAAATAATTCTAAAAATTGGACTAAATTGTCATATGTGTAAGACATGAATGTTCATCAGCGTAGGCTTAAATGAGGTCATAATCTACTTGTTTGTCATCTTTGGAGGGACATTTTGTGCCCAAGCAGTGCAATAGTGGAGACACACTAATTTTTACAGCCAATAGCACAGAAGGGACAATTTTAGCTACCAGCTTGTCCAGTCACCTTTGATTTCCCCTTCTCCCCCACAAATAACTAAATATGTGCCTGCAGCTCGATTAAAAGGAAAGCTGAAACCCAAAGACAAATGTAGACTTATACTACACATACAGACAGAAGATGCCTCAAGTGTTTCATTGCTGGAACAGATAGTGAAATTACTAGCCTCTACCAATGGGCATCAATACAAAGCTCCCACATCCTTGGCTAAAAGCCAGCCTTCCCACAGCATGGATATCTACAGCACATGGAACACAATCCAGACACAACCCATTCACGTGACCAGCACGCACATCCATGTCCTTATGAGGCTGTGCCAAGTGGGTGCACATCTCCATAAGGTGGGGTAAGGAGTCCCCAGGAAAGAAATATTAGGGATGAAGTTACAAGCAAAGTAAATTGTGCTGACAGGCGGGATCTGTGTTGTAAATCATCAACTGCCTGGTTTTTGCCAACACAGTGCTAAGCATGTTTTTTGCTTGTCTGCACCAATCAGCTGCACAGACCTGGCAAACAAACCTTCCACTCAGTCAGGAAACATTTTTTTTCACTTTGTACCATAACACTACCGCATTTCCCTCTCAGTAGGAAAGCAGCAGAAAACAGATGACAATTATTTTTTTTACAGAAACTCATTTAATAAGAAGTAACTACCTCTCCTAAACTCACATTATTTGGAACTACTCTCTCACTGAGCCTCATTTTATTCACAGACTTGCAATAACCCAATCAAGTCCAAAATCTCTACCCACTCTTGGCCATTCAGAGAACTTCTTTCTTTGCAGAACTTATTATAGCACACTTCTATTTTCTTCATAGCTGGGGAGAGGTGCTTGCAACACTGAATTAACAGAGCTCATTTAACACTGACCCAGTGCACTCAGCAGCAGCTGAGAAGGGGACCTGTTTCAGCCAGACCAGCTCGCCTGCTACAAGAGCTGCAGGAGCAAGGACACTATTTTGGTCACTTGTCTCATGGCTAGCAATGATAAGTAATGTTCTCAGAATTTCTGAAGCAAAAATCCTTGTTCCCAGAAGTAACCTGCAAATACTCCTGCAAAGGCAGGAGTGTGGCCGGGCGTGTCTGGTCTCAGGCTTTCCTCAGAGACAGGTGCTCCAGGAACATTGCAGAGAGGGGTGAAACAGCAGTAAAATTATGTCTGCTTTAATTATGTCCATCCCTCCCTTTGTCTGTGATCTTTGCAGAGGAAAAGATTTCAGATCTGCTGGGAAGGGCAGGGGTCAGGAGGGTACATGAGGCAGGGAGCTGCATGGAGGGTCCAGGAGGTGACTTCTCCCCTCCTGCCATCCCAGCCTCCTGAGAGAAGGGGCACAGTGTGCACACACCAACTTCACCAGATGCATCCATGAACAAGACAGAGCTCTTGCTATTTCTGTGGGGATCTTGCCTTGCTCCAGCCCTGCCCCACCTCCCTGCTCCCCATTTGTCTGAGGAGAATTTCCTGAGAAAGTAGTAAGAGAAGGGGAGCAGAAACTGCCATGTTGTTTGCGGGAGTGCTTCCCTCTCTCTCCTACAGTAAAAGGGAGTTGGTTCTTCTGTCTCATTCCTCTTCATTCATGCCTCTTCCTTCCCTCACAATGCCACACCACCAAGAGGGAGCATCTTCACTCCCCTCCCTCACTCCCACCCCAGCCAGCCCTACAGATGAGCCTGAGGAGGATGAATCCCCACCACAGTGGTAGCAAGTAAGCGGAACAGGGCACACCAGGTGCACCATGGACATTAAGCAGACAATGGGGAGAGGAGAAGCTAAAATGGTTTGAGTTGTCAGCACATTGTGAATCACTGTGCCAAGTGAGATAAGAGAATGTGGGATCAGCACAGCAGAAGCTTGTCACCCTGAGAATCAGGCCTTCAATATTGTCTTTTACAAGTTCTAGCCACTTTCCCAGGAAAGTAACTATAAACATAGGTGTTTATACATTCCATTAAAGATATGCCTTTTGATGGACGTCTCTCACGGCCAGTGCAGTTGGGAAGGTGTTAACCTGACTATCCAACCCCTGGTCGTGGTCAGAAACCTATAAATACTGAAAGAATAAATAAACTATTCTCTTTCACCACACCTCGAGCTGTGTCCGTGTGACTCATTTTGTGTCCAACAGTGACAGAAGCTCAACAAATTTGGAGAGCTGTGAGGAAGATAAAAGGTCACTGTGAGGAAGTGCCATAAACAGATTGGCATGGCTTGGTCTCATATGAGTACATAGCAAGGGTTTGTACTATGTTAGCTGTGGTACTCCTCTGTGAGTAGCACCCTGCCACCCTCATCTCTCACCACCACCGCTCTGGACTGAGCTGTTCCAGTGAAAATATACACATTAGTAACTCTTTACCAGTATTTGATATTTATTGTTGGAGGATTTTTAACTATGTATTTTCCAAGCATGGGGAATCCTGTTTTCAGGCTCTGAGCAACACAGTGGCCTTCATTTGTGAGGGGATTCTCTCTCACAGCCAGGCTTAGCTGTGTCACGTCAGATGGGTATCCTTTGCAGACTCAGGAAGCTCCAAATGACCTTTTAACTTTTTTTTATAGGGTACATAGGTACCCTCCTCTAATTGCTGATTTTATTATTTTTTGCAGACTACAAGTCAGATGGGAGTGTTGACCTGCTGGAGGGCAGGAAGGTTCTGCAGAGGGATCTGGAGAAGCTGGGCCAAGGCCAATTGCATGAGGTTCAACAAAGTGAATATCCCCTGCCCTTGCATCACAACAAACATGTGCAGTGCTACAGGCTGGGGGAAGAGTGGCTGGAAAGCTACCCAGCAGAAAAGGACCTGGGGGTGCTGGTCAACAGCAGCTAAACATGATCCAGCAGTGAGCAAGTGGCCAAGAAGACCAGGAGGAATAATGGCAGCAGGACCAGGGCAGTGATTGTCCCCCTGTACTCAGCACTAGTGAGGCCACACCTCAAATCCTATGTTCAGTTTTGGGGTCCTCACTACAAGAAGGACATTGAGGTGCTGGAGCAGGTCCAGAGAAGGACAGTGGAGGTCTGGAACAAAATCCTTCTGAGGACTGGCTGAGGGAGCTCGGGTTCTTTAGCCTGGAGAAAAGGAGGCTCTGAAGGGACCTCACTGCTCTCTCCAACCTGAAAGGAGGTTTTAGCAAGGTTGGGATTGGTGTCTTATCTCAGACAACCAGCAACAGAACAAGAGGAAATGGCCTCAAGTTTTGCCAAGGGAGGTTCAGGGAAAAGAGAAAAGATTCCTCACTTTAGAGGTTAGAGCGTTTAGAGGTTTAGAGCAGTTAAGCATTGGAACAGGCTCCCCAGGGAAGCAGTGGAATCACCATCCCTAGAAGTGTTCAAAAAATGAGTGAATGTGGCACTTTGAGATATGGACTAGTGGGCATGGTGGTGTTCATTCAAAGATTGGACTTGAGATTCTTGGAGGTCTTTTCCAAGCTCAGTGATTCTATGAGTCTAGATTTTAACATCTCATGATATTTTATTTACAGATTAACCGTTCTTTGTTAAACATGGGAAAGAAAAGTACCTGCATCACTCAAGCAGTTTTCAAAGCAGTTTGCATTCACTACATGTAACACAGAGTAGTCTTTTCCTCATCCCATGGTGCCTGTCATCTGTGTGTCTCTCTGGAGAAGACAGGCAATGATTTACTAACACCTGTGCAATTGCAACGTCAAAATCCAGCTCCTGAAATACAAAGCTTAGCTCTGTGATATATGGCAAGACATCCAAAAATACATACATCACCACAACAAAATCTGCCTGGGACCAGTCCTTTATCAACTCAGGTATCAGGGTCCTTCATTAATGCAAACTACTACTGGCTGCTGAAGATTTTAATACCAATGTGTCTCCACTGTATAATGTTAACTAGCTATGAACTTCTTTATGTTCACAGGTATATCCTGAATTTTTATTTTTTTTGAGGGGGGAGCTCAGGAGAAATAGAAAAAAATTCTTCAGTTAAATAAAACAAGAAACTGAATCAGCTGTAAAAGATTCACACTTACTGATTTGTGGGCAGAAGAACTGTAATTTATTAACATGATATTTGACATCCTGAAAATTCATTTAAGTTGAAACGGCCCACAACATAACTGAAAGTTAAGCAACATAAAATCTATTTATTGGAACAAGTTCTTGGTCAGTCTGGCAATGTTATGAAAGGGTGATAAGATGATTCATGCATCCCACTACAAAATTCCTTAAATTTCTGTAGGAGTAACAGCCAAGGCATTAACTGATTCTGTTAAACTTCTTTCCTACTCTGCCTGTTCCTCCGAGCAATACCTGTAGGGACTTAAGATTCATAGTCAACATTTTTCAGTAATGTCCTTGAAATGAAAAATGATCTTTGGCAGGCATGCAAAAAGACAAACACAAGCCATTGGCACTTATAGCTTTTCATATCGCTACGCAGTTATATAGTAAGCATTTTCACTGCTGTTCCTACAATCTGTTCCAAGAATCTCAGGAATTTGCAAAGTGGGTTGTTGGGTTTTTCCTACAGTCAGGAATCTGAGGAATCAATTCTTATTCCCTGGGCACCTAATAATCCTTGACATTCTCAATTAACAACAGGAACAATAGCTGACATTACAATATTTATGATGATCCGAGATTTTTTTCCAACTCCTTCCCTAAGCTGTTTCTTTGCCTTTTAACCCATCTCCCGTCAATTACTACATAAGGTGGGACTCTGGTATCATCTACATGTTAAAATATGGTGGAGGTATTAAGGATAATTACCTTTCTATGTGTTTTGTGCTAGGCAGGTGAAACCCAAGGGAGAGGCAGGAGAACTGAACCGTTGTGCATTCTGTTTGTCAGCAAATGGCTCAAAGTCAGCCAGCCCCTGAACAGACACAGACCTTGGGGACATCTAGGCTTGTTGCTGGGAGAAGAGATAGATAGCATTTAGGGGTACAAATCATACAGATCTGTGAGAAATTAGACTTACCCTACTTATTCTGTACCTCTTGGAAAAACTCATCCTAACTCTGTGTTTTAGTAAAGGTTTGGTGTATCTGCCAGATAAGATTTTTGCCTCTTCTTTTTTTTCATTTTTATGTTCACATTTAGTATTTGGAGGCCTCTTGCAAAGGAAAATCTTCCTTCATCTTGCAGATCTACATAGTAGTAAATCTGAATTTTATATTGTCATGTCTAGTTTTCTTTCAGTGGCATTTCTCTCAGCTTTCTCATTATTATTAGGTTACCTCTACAAGGAAAGCCTGTGCTGGAACTGGCAGATTTTACTGCATGTCTAAAAGTCTGCCTAAGAGTTGTTATTCACTGTCAGTCCTCAGAACTTTCCAGTTTTCCGGCATTGCAAACTTTGATTTTTATCTCAGAAGTCAGCATTCAGCAGCTTTGACAACTTCATGACTTTTGAATACAATTTAATTAACCATACTTTTCTTTGTCATACTCAAAATAAAGCTCCTCCTCCTCCCAGTAGCTCGCACACCCCAACCTCCCCAAATTTTGCTTTGATTTGTGCAGGTATTCATTACTATAGATCAGTTCTTTGTTTATTCTCTTCAGAAGCAATTATGTGTATCATATTGAATTGCCCTGTATCTTATCTAAATGTTCCTTCCAAGTGGAACGAAATACTGCTTCTCATTTGGTTACATTTTTCTTCTCCTGGATGGTTACTTTATATGACAGCAGATACTTCTTTCTCTGAGCTACTGGGATAATCACTCACTCTTCTATTAGTAAAATGCCCACCTTAAATTCTTTCCTAAAGTGCTGACATTGTGCTCCAAATCTCTGCTTTCTTCCAACCATCCTTGCACAATTCCAGCTTATGCTAAAAAAAAAACAAACTGTGTAAGTTCCAGTGTAAAATTCTGTTAATTTTGAAATTATAAAAGGAGCATGCTTCACTACATAAGTTTCATACCCATCGATATTTCTTTCATGTAGTATTGATCTGTTTATCACCCTACACAAGAAATCCATATTTCCTCCCTTATTTATATTCTACAGAAAATTCTTGTCCCTGTAGCTTCAGGATCAGATGTACAATTTTAGATGCTAGTAAACAGAAAAGTTTCTACAATGTGAGCAAATCTGGAACTCTTGCTGGCTTGATAGATTCACTTCAAACACCCTTACTGGAACCAGTTCTAACTAATCCATTTTTAAATTTGAGGTATTTTCTGCCACAGCAAAGGAGATCTCAGGGAATATACAAGTAACTGTTTTTGAGGACACTCAGGTCTGTATTTCTGCCTGTGCTGAAAATTAACCTGTCAGCAGCAGATCCTTTGCATTTGCTGTTTGCCTGTGTTAAGTAAATCTTACATTTGATTCTCAATATCAACAAAGCTCCTAGTCCAGTATGTGATGACTCTGTTCTATGAAAGGAAATGAAGAATTAATTTATTAAATGTGCTTTTGAAAATATAGTTCATAAGATGGGTCAGGTAAGTCATCTCACCCTTCCAGTAGCCTATGGGAGGGCAAACACATATTCTTAGCAGGAAAAAAAAAAATGTGAAGGAAGAGTTGTTCAGCACTTCCATCACTGGTTTAAACGCCTAAGTGAGATTGTTACTTTTTCTAAGATCACATAAAGCCCTGTACAGTCAAACCTGTTTAAATATTTCTGTTGTGAGAGGATTTTTTATTTTTTATTTATTCTTTTTCTATTTTTATTTTTTTTTATTCTTCACAAGCAGAAGTTTTTGAGTACCAGGGAGTTTAATTGCTGACCAACTACACAGATTCTTTTAAGCTACTTTGGCTCTCTGGATTCCTTGGGCACCTGAGTGACTATCCTTGAACGGAGGTGATTCAAAACAGCTTCTGTGGTGCTCTCCTTGTGCTGGGAAGCAACTCAGTAACAAAGATGTCAAGGCTAGCTGCAGGACAGGCAGGGCAGAAAGTGAGAAGATGTACAAAATTAACAGAGAAATTAAAGATTTCTTTTATCAGCAGTGCTCCATTATTTTTCCTTCACAGCAAGCAAAGATGAGCTGGCAGATCTAAGTGAAGAGATGCTGCTCCAGGCAACCCCTGATACAGTCAGCCCTAGATCTATATCTGTAACACCAGTCTCTGTCCCACCTTTTTCTTAAGATCAGAAATGTATTACAACATTTAATGAGCCATTTGTAACAGCTGAAAACACACAGGTGTTATTGCCCCTTGGTTAACCTGTCTGGATAAACCCCTACCAAACAGCCAAGTTGACGCCCAAGGTTTAACATCTGCAAACCAGATTAAAAGTATAATTAATACCAACATGGATTAAGGCAGAGATTATTCTGAATGAGGTACAGGCTTGTACTCAGTAGCATCTAAAGAAACAGAAACTTCTTATGTACAGACTCAATCTCATTATTCAGACACATACAAGAAATCAAAGAGACTTTTATAATATCTTTCACTTTACCTTTGCTGTTTTCTTTTCTTTGGGTACATTAAAAAAATAGCTACAGGCAGCTGGCTGCACTATTTGATGATAATTTAAACCTCAATTTTCTGGTAGAACACCGATTCTTTGGTTCTGTAAAATCCAAAATATTTGGAGCAGTCTTTGAGAACTAACTCTTACTCTGTAATTCCATGGAGAATCTAATGTGAATATCATTTTCTGCTGTGTTTGCAGCCTATTCAAAGTTATCTTATTCTAATGCAAAAAAGTCTTAAGCAGAACTGAAACTTACTGGTCTGTTTTCAGCATGCATGCCCCAAAACGAGTGATAAGCCAAAAACTGTTAATGATGAGATATAATTTTCATTCTTTCAATATTAGATGGCAACTTTAACATTTTTACATGGTGGAGGAAAAGGAAAGGGGATGGCGTCCACTGTAATGCATGCATTTATATCAGACCTCTTGTATAAATAATGCTTGTAAAAGAATTTGTTGAACCAGATCCTTGTAGAGCTGGGGCTTAAGTCCTTGGTGGAAGTAAATAAACTCATTTGATGTGAGAGGAGTGTTTGACAAGTACGGAAAAATTAAAAGGGCTTTTTGAGTAATCAGGGTTTCAGTAATCAGCTTACAGGAAACAAATGTCAACTTGCTAGAGGTCACTTCACCTTCATACGACAGGCATTCATCGTGGAGGTGTCACAGCCTAAGCTGTGCACAGTGACTGCTGTAGAGGAACAGAGGGTTCTTTCCATTAACCACAACTCCAAGAGTAATCCAATTGACAATGCAGAGCTTTGCAGCAGATAGCAAACAGAGGTGGTTTTCATCTAACAAGGTATCCAAAGGTTTTGTGAGAGATCAGTTAGAGCTTGGAATTGAGAATAAAACATAAATGAAAGTAAACCTCCACATCATTAACATAACAGAACTGGTGATTAATTTATCATTACAGAATTGGTGATGAGTTCTCCGGAAGTCCAGTGTAGGAGTTTTGTTGATGCCCCTCCTTGTTTCACCAAATATTGAAAACTCTTTTATCTCATGGTCACTGTACCTCAGACAGGTCCCAACCACCACATCTGCCAGCCCTTCCCTGCTTGGGAACAGGAGGTCTGTATGATATCACATGGACTTCCCATTTCCTCCAAAGGGCAGAGAAGCATCTGGGAGATTCCTGCCTCATCACATCAAAACAGCATCTACAAATCTTGAAATAAGTACTGAAGTCTTCTGAATGGTCCCTGCCACCTTGGTGTTGAGAATGTGTCCAATGCCTTCTGAGTTCCCAGGCAAGATAGCAGCATAAGGAAATTTTGACCAAGTATCTCCCAGTTCTCTAAAATTATTCTGGATTCTCCTACTTGAATCTCAGATTGGTGCACTCAGTTTCACTGAATATGCCTGCCCAGATCTCCCCCAGATTCTCTTTGGCCCTTGGGATGGGAAGTCACCACATCAGTCTTACTCAGCTTTTGCACTGATCTGGAGCGACCACCTGTAGGAGCATGAAATAGGTTTGTTCTCCAAGATCTGTTAAGCTTCTGGCCTCTGCCAGAGACTGATATATGACTTATTAATACCAACTTTGATGATGAATTTCAATTTAGAATTTGGGCAGTGACTTCTCTGACTACTGGGGCGTGAACATTTAACAGAAATTCACCTGTCCTTTCTATCTTGCATTTTCCTGTCAATATGCTTTCTCTGGCCCACTCAGAGAAAGTGAACTGATTTGCCATAGCCTGTAATTATTGGAGGAAGAGCAGGAAGCATTTTGAAACCTCAGAAAGTTACAGTAATAATTTAAATCATCAACAGGTTCAGCTATGCCCCAACATATGCAGCTGAAAACACAGAAACTTTCTGTGACGTGCCATCATTATCCTCCTCTGATGGTGGTATAAAATTGTGCACAATGGCAAGAAAAGCAAAGAGCCCAAACCAACTGACTGCTGTGATAAGAGAGAAAATCCTGAAGTGAGCAGGACTGCAGTGGGATTGTGACATTTTAATGATAGTTTAGAAATACAAAAATGTCTGGAGATAGTCAGTCATCTATTCATTCTCTTTCTGTGTGAATATCAGTCACCTGACGGAAGCATAAGGTAAAATTTATCCTCTAGACTTTCAGTTTTGTAGAAAGAGATTTAAGAAATTATTTTAAACCAAATACTTTTGTCTGAAAATAATGTAGTGTGTTTTAGTTTTGCTTCTACAAAGTTCTGTGTATAATCAGTTATAGCAACACTTTGCACTTGGCCCTGCTTTCCTCTTATTTTTCCTCTATGCTCACAGTACCTGAACTATACTTAATGACTGATAAACCCCCAAAATAATCTCTTCCTAAATTTTTTAGGATTTTTCCAGTAAATCTCACAATGAAAGGCTAGAAATGCTGCCAGTCTGACATAAAACCATTATAATAGGCTGTTCAATACAAAATTATAGCTATCAGGCTAAATTAGTAACTATTGTTTTGCAACTGAAAGTGATGGCACTATGAAGGTAGATTAAGGTGGGGAGAGAGAGGGAGTGCTTGAGTATAGGTGAGGAAGGTTTAAGATGGAGAGAGAGATCACAGCTGTACTAAGGAAGTAAGTTCTGTTAAAAATGTGATGTTTCAGACAGTGCAGCCTCTAGGCTGCCTTCAGGACTCATTAAAAACAGTTTCCATCACTTCCACTAGGGCTTTGGGAAGCTAAGAACTTTGAAAAGCTTTTTAAAAATATATCTTATATCCAGGCGAAATGTAGTTTTGAGAAAGCAGTGGAAGAAGTGTAGAGGAAAGAGTATTCCACCAGAGTGTCAAAGAAGGAAATTAAATATGTATGTTTGGGTTTTGGGGAGATCTGTAGCATAAAAGGCCTATTTGTGGAACACTGTATTTGCCTTACATCCAATCACACCACAAGAGTTCTTGGTTTAGTTCAGGAAACAAAAAGTTTTGAAATAGCTGTTTGCTTGATATAGTTGAATAAAATAGTAAAACTGAGATAACAGTATCCAGTCTGTCATTATTAGAAGGCATCAGACAACTGGCACTAAGCCTGCAAATAGTGAGCATCTGGTCAGGCCAAAGTGGGCTGGCTTCTGCCTGTGAGAGGAAATAACCCTTTGGATCACATTCATCCCGGCCCATGCCAAAGGGATGCTGCAAACAGAAGTTATACACCAAGATCTACAGTCAGGATGAGATGTCCACTTCACTTCCAGCATTCCTCATGGAATGATAGAATGGTTTGGGTTGGAAGGAACCTTAAAGATCCTTTAGTTCCCGTCTTTTTCAGTGTCTCACCACCCTCACAGTAAAGAATTTCTTTCTAATATCTAACCTAAACCTACTCCTTTTCAGTTTAATACCATTATCTCCTGTGCTATCCTTAGACTCCCCAGTAAGCAATCCCTCCCTATCCTTGCAGGCCCACTTTAGGTACTGGAAGGTTTCTGTATGGCTTTCCTGAAGTCTTCTCCAGGATGAAGAATCCCCAATCTCTCTGCTAGTCTTCATAGCAGAGATGCTTCAGTCCTCTTCATTTTTGGGACCCCCATTTGAACCCACCCCAACAGGTCCATATTCTTGTTTTGCTGGGGACCACAGAGCTGGGCATAGTGCTCAGGTGGTATCTCATGAGAGCAGAGACAAGGGAGAGAATTCTCTCCCTTACCCTGCTGGCCAGGCTGCTTTTGGTGCAGCCCAGGACATGGTTGGCTTTCTGGGCTGTGAGTGTTCATTTCTGGCTCATGAGGAGCTTCTCATCCACCAAACCCCATGGTTTTTCTCCTAGAGGCTGCTCTCAATCCATTCTTTTCCCTTGGACAAACCTAGATTAGGGACTGCTGCATTACAAGGTCCATGCAGGACCTTGCACTGTTGAACTTCATGAACTTCACACAGACCCATCTCTGAAGCCTGCCAAGGTTCCTCTGGAAGTTATCCCTTCCCTGCAGAGTGTCAATCACAGCACACAGCCTGGTGCTGTCAGCAGCCTTGCTGAGGGTGTGCTCAGTCCCACTGTCCATGTCACTGACACAGGTGTTCAACAGCTCCAGTCCCAATGCCAACCCCTGGGGAACACATCAAACAGATCTCAATCCAAACAATCTTAAAAAATAAGAACCAAGGCAGAGGCTCCCAAGCCAAAATGGCATCAGATTCACAGTCTGAAGACTTATCTAACAAGTTTGATATGTGCTTAGACTTTAGTTGTCTGCAGGTGAGCCACATAGTTGGAGTTCTGAGACTTCAGAGTCTCAGTTCCACAGGTGCTCCCATCATAATGGCCTCAGTGTACATGGTTACTCTTGCAGTAATCCAGTGTGAGAAATAGTGAGGTTTTTATGGACATGGCTCCCAGGTTTGAGCAGACCACAAGGGAGTAAGTATATATTTGGGTTTGACTTTGAGGGATAAGCTCTGGGGTTTGAAAATACTATAGCCAGAGACATGTACAGCTTCATTAGAATGGAGGAGCTAAAGAGCTGAGAAGTC